GTGCGGCGTGGTAGCCAAGATGGATCAAGTTACGGGTGCTTCCAATGGTGTATGCAGGGGGTGAAATTCCAGAGCATTAAAATGAGATTTTGTCTTGCTAGCAGTACTTGGTTAGACGGTCTGAGCAGAAGAAGAGGTGCTGCTGGTACCGGTGCCTCTGCCAGTGTTAACTGCTCTTGTCTGTCTCTTCGCACACCCCATAAAAATCCATAATGACAACACATGCACATGCTCGGGCTATTATGCTAATAGCGGTGTCATCGTTTTGTTCACACCAGTGCGCAGGACACTCCATCTGCCTCACTAAACGCGCCTTGCGTGGGTGTGAAAGAGAAAGAGAATTTGCCCGTCAGCAACTCCCAAAGACCTCAGAGGAGTACCGGGGGTGAAGTGGAGCCCCCGTAGTCAGAATCAGATGTTTGATTTGCCCCCTGGAGTGAGAAATTACCCCCCCGTTGGATACAAAGCAGGGGATTGGTCGCATGGGTCATTACCCCGGGAGCTATGCAGCAGGCAAGATGGTGCAGTGAAGATGTGTACACATGAGCGTCTCCGTATGGTCATATTTGTCGTCGGGATAGGAGAAATCTATGGTCCATGTAAGCAGAGGTCAGTGACAACATGAAAACTGCTGTCAGTAGCAGTGGGAACTATTGATACTTCCAATCATTGAGACACAAGTACAAGACTTTCATAGAAGATATGTGAGAAAGTGGCATGTTTCTCCTGCGCAGGCAGTGAGGCATTAATCATCACCACAGCAAAAGAAAAAAGGAATCAGTAACTTTGGTGTTTTGGTGTCATTTCCAAACACAAAGTCACATTTCATAAGCTTTTGTGTCTTTTGTCCAGACAGAAAGCCTCTTCAAACTGCTTACAAATAGAGTTAGTGAGGAGCATGCACAAACAGATGAGGAGTCTGGAACAACGTGGCCATAAGAAGGCAGTATAATCCTGGGTTTTTTAATATCTCATCAGAACCAGCATTTTGGGTACAGTACTCCTGGTCTACAAATGTGTAAATTTTGGTTGCTCTGCTATCAACGTCGTCGACTTAGAAGTACTGTAGGTGCTTTCTTGCTAACGGCATACAATAAACTATTGTAAGTTTTAGAATTTGTGTATGTGTGGTTTCATCATTGATTTTGGCGCCTGATGTCGCGCTATATCATTTCAGGGTGTGGCTCTGGCTGACATACGGGCTAGGCTAATTCCCATTTTGCATATTTCTGGACTGTGGGAGCAGCAAAGCCTGGTTCTTTTTGCTGTAAGACAAGGGCCCTAATGCAACCAAAAACAGCGATAGTCTAAGAGTACAACTAAAATGGCTAACTGCATAACTTTACATCTTTGGTGTATTGTTTTACATGAAGCAGAGACAGCATCAGAAGAACAATCGAAAAATACGTAGAAGCAGAAGTTAGACATAAACAGTCAACTCCTGAATGGTTTAAAAACACTCCTCCATCCATCCATGCTACTTACTCTACAGCCCACAGGGAGCACCTATTTCCCAGAGTATTTTTTTTTAATTTAGAAACTTCAGGTGTGGACAGTGACGCTGTGATGAGATTCTCAAATTTGTGGATCCACGGGGGAGAGATTCGGTCATTCGCTGGGAGGCATGACAAGGCGATTGCTCTGAGTCAGGGTATTGAACGATGACAGCAGCACGAGCAGAAACCGCTGGCATCCCATTTCTATGGATCCTGGCTCTCGTTTATTAAAGTCTATTGGCATCTACAGGGACGATGAGAGCAACATACAACCACTAATTACTTTCTTAAGCATCTGCGTTAATGCCAGGTGCATCCTGCTGATACAAACCACAGTGTTTATCACCAGTAATGGCCTCGGAGAGGAAGAAAGGAGGACACATGAAGGGAGGAGAGGAAGTAAAGGAGGATAGGGGTTGGACTGGAGGGTAGAGCTTTTTTTTTTTTTTTTTTCACGATGATTAGAAACTAGACAGTGGTGCTATTTTTGCCAGTTGGCTCCTTCAGGAAGGGTCTCAGACGGCGGTTGAGTTAATCATGGAGACAATAACAGTGTCACACGCACACGATCATTTATCATTAAGATTAACATTAAGTTCGTGACGCCAACCACACGGAGGTGGTAGGGAACGTCTTCGGGCTTCGCTTCCTCCCCCCTTTAGTCTCACATTATGTGCCCCTCTTGTCATTTACCACAGGAAGAATAAAGAGGGCTTTACAGAGGAGTGAGGGAATGCAAATATGATAGACATGTCATTTCAGTTATGGCCTATAAAAACAGGACTATAGAAGGGTTGCCATTCTTTATCCTTTTATGGATGAAACCACATTTTCTTAGCAATAAGGTGTCATAAAATATATCATAAGTAACAGTCTCCTTCTATTATACTGGTTCCTAAAGCAGGGGGCAAGTCCCCGTAGAGGCCACGTAGCTACAGCAGGGGAGGAGCAGAAAGAATTTCATTTAAATTCTTTACTGATTTTAAGCAATTGAATCTGATTGAGGAACATCGTTATTTATATGCTACAACATTTTAATTCATTTCACATCGTGCGCAGAATGTATCCAACAAAAATACCAACCAGTTTGAATCAATAGTCACAATATCTTACAGCTATGGGAAGCCCAGCTCATAATTATAGAAATAGTTAAGGACGACAATGAATCAGAAGATTCCCCTGTAACCTGAGCATAAACCCATTCATAAACAGAGACATTGTGTCACAATCCCAAAGGAAGAAGGAATGAATGGAAAAAGCTCAAAAAGCTCAAAGGCAGTCTGACATTTTTACTGAGTTTACGGTTTTGCCTCGCTGTAGAGAGAGTGGTTTGGTAAACAGTTCCTTCAGCTCAGATGGTAAGCATTTTAAAATGTATTTAATCAGAACCTCAATATATATGTATATAGCCTTGTTATTTGAATAGTAGCATCCAAGCCAAAAAAGTGTGGACACTCCTCATCCATACAGTCTGTGGATCATTAAGAGCATAAAAGTAAAAAGAATAGTGTCTGCACCAACTCAAGGTTCTATTTCTATATTTTATAGAACCAGACACACAATAAATGTTCAACTATCTTTCTATTTCTCTTTTCTTCCTACATCTATATACCAGACTTCTTTTGTTCCTTTTCTTGGTATTTTCTAGAATATATCTGTAACCCTGAATGATTCAAAGGATATTTAATAAAACTGTGTGTGTATGTGTGTGTATGTGTGCGTGTGTGTGTCACACCCAGGAGACATGGAATCCAAACAGTCAGATGGGTCCTGCCTTGTACCATTAGTGCCAGTTAGGTCTATAACATCATTATATTCGAACCCTGCCCCCAACCTTACACACACACACACACACACACACACACACACACACACACACAGGGACACACATATACATTCTATATGAACACCAGCACCCAGACTGTCGCCTCAATACTCTGTTTGAGGGAGGAATCCAAAAGGGAGGAGTTTGGTTTAGACAGCAGCGTTACAGTTCCTCGGCTCTGCGTCATGAATCGTAAAGCAGACAGATGTAAAGAACAGTGGACAGTGACAGGGAGGGGATGCGACAGAGAGACAGACGGTGGAAAAAAGAAGAAGGAAAGAGGAGAGGTGAAAAAAAGAGACACAGGAGGAAACTCTTAAAGATGTCTTCTGGCTTCCTTTGTCAAGTTTTCTCTTCAGGAGAGGCTGAAGAGAAAGAGAGAGAGAGAGGGGCAGGAATGATACCAGACGGTGACTGTGTTCCATTTAACATGCAATAAAGCAGAACAGATTACCTGCTCTCTCCTCTCACTGCCCACCTACCTCCTCAAGGTGTCCCTATATCATTTAATACAATCCTCTCTTTTAACTTAGCCACTGCCGAGTCAGCGAATTTTCATAACACAGACACTTTTCCATGGTTCTCTGGCAACGACGTCATTATTCACGGAACGCATTGACTGCAAAAGGACGT